TTTACATTAATCCAGCCTGTCATCACCTTAATAGTTCTCTAGCTGTTGCCTTCAGAAATGCTGAATATCTGCACGTATGAAGATATACATTCTGTATTTAACAACCTAAATGATTAACCATGAAGTAGCATTACCTGAAATACATATTTATTTTACCATTTATAAATGCTGCCACATTCCATATGACTCTAGGTGGTTCACAAACATACAGTAAAACAAAACAAACAAAAAAATACCAAACCCCATTAAAAAATCTTGAAACAGTTCCAGAAAACAAGTGAAGGTAAAATAGAATGGTTTTGCATTATGGTTGCACAATGAGGTAAAACCAGTGCCTACCTTTGTATTTAGCAACCAGCCTGAAAAGAAGGCACACACAGAATACGTGCAGAACCCACAGGGCGAAGACATCACATTATAACCCGTGAACTCTAATTTTTCATGAGCAAAAACCACCACCACCACCACCAGTAATAAATTTACTTATCAGGCACGCAGCCAGTTGGCTGTCCACAGTTAGTCCTGACAGAAAATCATGTGGCCTCAGACTGCCCATCTGATCCAGGGGACCCAGTGGCAGTGAATGTATGGATGGGTGGTGGATGGCGGCCATGGTTGAGAGCAGAGATTCCTGACTGCTTTGGGTCACTGAACGTGTTCAGAATGTTAGGAGCCCATGATGGGCACTCTCACAGAAAAGTTTCCAGGGTGGCAAGCAAAGCACTAGCCTGCAGTTACATGCCATTTTATTTTCCAAGCATCCCCTTTGAGGGAGGCATTATTTGAAAATCAGATTTTGCTGGTGCTCTGCTTTGCCACACGCTAACTACTTCTTTAACTAAAGGAATTTTTGACAAATGAAATTAGTAGGCGAGGGGGCTTGCCAGCCTCAGGGTCTCAAGGATGACAAAAGGGGCTAGTCTTCAGCTGGCTTCCAGTGGCTGGGTTGGAAGAGTCCAGCAGTGGGAGGCTGATCTTGGAGATCAGCTGCTCTACCAAGTTAGGGTGCCATCATATCACCTGCTGTCGAGAAAACCTCATGCAGGACCCTGGTTGTCAAGAACGTGATGTATTGTTGGGCATCGTTGCACAGCCAAGATGGGAACTTTCTGTGTACTCACCTTGCTTTGGCTTGTGAGAACATGCCATAGACGCCTCTCTTCTCCCTGAGAAGGATCCAGCTGGAGGAGCGGGGGCTGCATGCTTTTGCTTGCTGAAGGAAAGTTGGAGCCAGTCCCCTGGCTGCTGTTCCTGCTTGGGATGCAGTTATGCACTCAGTGTTTCATATCCCTTCAGGTCTTCAGGTGGTGGATGGTGCCAATCCTCACTCCAGCAAAGCTGCTCCTTCCTGATTGTTGCCCATAGCAACAACCACCAACACTGCTTCATTAGTTAAAGTGCCCAATATTAATAAATCTACAGAATGGGATGGGAGATGGAACATTTCCAGGATAGGGGTTGTGTTGTTTTGAACTTAGAATACTCAGAATTGCTATTCATCTTGATTTCAGTATATTTTGCACACCCCTGTTAGATAGAACATTAAACCACAATGAGTTTAAAACCAACACAAGACCCTGATCTCGTTCCAGTAGCTATGTTAGAAGGCAAGAGGTATGGGTAGCTGACAAGCCCATTGTATTCATGCAAAGGTTAGGTGCATGATTTAGTAATGCATCCAAACATCATCCATGTCTAATTTGATTGTGTCTTCGTTGTACTATAAATAAGTATCAGGGATTTAAACCATGCTTCAGGATTGTTTATGGGAGATACCTGCACTGCTAATATAATGTCATCTTTCTTTTTTTCTCCAGTTATTTAATGAGGAAGTGAATAACCAGTGTGGTGTTTTCCTCAATAACCCCAAGTCGTACTTAGGAACTTGGAATTTTACTTCTTGTGCTGATACTCTGTCTTTGGCCATATGTCAGAAGCAGCCAGGTATGTGAGGTGGAGAGATATACAGGCTTGAAATACCTGCTTCTTAACTTTAGGTGGCATTTTAGATGTACAAATACCACAGTCAGCACATAAAACGTTTAATGAGATATGAGAAGAGCCACCTGCAAATTTCCTGTCCTTGATGGATCTGCATTGGGGAGCTTGGTAGTAAGGATCTAAAAGTCTTAAAAAGCAACTTGCTTTCTGTGGTAAGATTTGGTTACTTTAAAAGTAACTCCCAAAGTAAACTGATCTTGGATAAGAGCTGGGAGGAACACTGTATTACTGGCTTTCCATGTCAGTTGTTTTACTTTTGAAAGCTTCCTGATACAAGCTCAGCTGTCAACTTTTTGGAGGAAGGAGAAATATTCTTTCTCTTATGTCAAAAAGAAATGCTTTTTAGGATGATGCTTGTCATTAGAAGTTCTTTACATTATTTAAAATTATTTCTAGAAAAATCTGACTAATTAATCTTCATATATCAATTGGATTAATTTAAGTGATACGTGGAGATTCAGTATTACAGTCCTAATCTTAATATGTCACCCAAAATACAGTGTGCTATAAAAAGTATTTAAGTTAAGGACATTAAAACCCTATACCCTGAAGAGAAAACATTGCTCCTGAAAATAAAATTCTTTATTGTATATTATTTCATTTCCCCTCTTCAACTGCTTATTCTTCTTCTGTAGATGCTGTAGGAAACCAGACAGCACGAACACCTGAACGTACCATGAAATATCTAAATATCACCTACACCATAATTCTGAGGAACTTGACGTGGCATGATGCCCAGGAGGAATGCCTGAAGAACAATATGAGGCTGGTTAGCATTACAGAACAATATCAGCAGGCTTTTCTTGGTTCTCAGGTGGCTCTCCATAATTACCAGCTCTGGATTGGACTCTCCAGCAAAGATGTAAGGTTCTGCTTTCCCTTTCACACCTACTCTTGAAATAAAACATATTAGGAGTATGATAAAATGGACAAATATGTTTTAAATAATACCTGTAAAATATGAGGACTATGGCTACTGAGAGTGCTAAAACCTGTTGCAGATGCCTGTCTTATAAATGCCTTTTTAGAATGTCAAATGATGGGAATAAATTCTTTTTGCTCCTTTAAAGAGCGGACATAGTGCATTTGTTTAAAAAAATGAGACTCAAATCCAGTGTCATGGGCTCAAGAGCAATTTTACCCAAAATAATACCTGTCAGATAAATTACACTTAATATCTCAAGCTTTCCAGTCAGCATAACCGTTGGCCATGCTACCTAGGGATTATGGGGATTGAAATCCAAGACTTCTATAAATCATCAAGTTGGGAGGGGCATACCTTTCTACATGAAGCCACTGGGTGAGGTTATCCACCAGTTTGGGGTTCAATATCATCAATATGCTGATGATACCCAATTATATCTTTCAATCCCAGACCAATCAAGTGAGACAGTTGAGGTCCTATCTCAGTGCTTGGAGGCTGTGCAGGCCTGGATAAGAAGAAAACGACTCCAACTCAATCCTACCAAGACTGAGTGGCTGTAGATATTAGAGCCCCTGGACCCAGGGATTTTTTATCTATACTCTTGAATGGAGTAGCACTTCCCCAGTGCTCAACCTGGGGGTCCTCTTGGACACTCAGGTCCTACTCAAAGAGCATCTGGTGCACAGCTTGTGCACATTCTGGATTAGGAAGCCCTTCAGATAGTCACGAATGCCCTAGTCATCCCATGGCTTGATTATCGCAGTGCATGGGGCTGCCCTTGAAAACTATTCAGAAGCTTTAACTGGTCCAGAATGCAGCAAATTATCTTTGCTTCATGCACTCCAAAGGTTGCCAGAAGGCTTCTGGATGCAAAAGCAGTGTTGGCCCGCTCCAAGTTCCTTCGATTAAATAGTGCCATCCATGGGGGCCCAGGAAATGTACCTTCTCTGTTGTACTACCTACCCTCTAGAATGAAATCCTCCCAAAATCTGTGTGGCTCCACCCTTTTGACATTCTGTAAGGCCTTGAAGACCTGGTGGTTCTCCCAGGCATGGGTTAAGATAGATAGAGCCCTTGCTGGATGTGCTTTTCACCTTATTTTTGTACTGAGTGATCAGATCCCAATCTTGTTTTGTCTTGTATTGCATTTTTATTGCATATTCTATTGTGAACCACCCAGAGTTGGTTTGGGGTCAGGCAATGCCTAAATTGAAATAAATAGTAAATAAATACCACTGACTACAAATTGATGTATAATAGGGGCATGCAAATCAGCCAAGATCTGGTTTAGATCCAAGATTTGATGGTGGTAAGATTTAAATCAAAATTGAGATTCAAGATTCAAAGGTAACAGTGTTTGATTTGAATTGTTTTGAGATTCTGTTCAGTAAATCACTCAGATATTAAAACAGAGGAGCATCAGAATACTAGTAGGTGCTTCCTTTTTGGGCAGAATGGGTTGAAAATAAAAGGGATGGTCAACTTCTTAGACATATTAAAATGGCAAAGCTTATGCTGCATAACTTTGAGGATTTCCACTATAATAATCCTGGAAATATTCTCCCTGTTTTAAGATAGAGATGAGGAAAAGATATCCAGCTTAAATATAAAAGCTTCCAAAAACAATTAAGCTCTTACTAAGATCAAAGAATCCACCAACCCCTGAGTTCTTGTTTTTCTAAGCTTAACAAGCGTTTGGCATGGCTAATTGGCAGAGCTGACCTCCAAATTTTTATTGTTATGCTATTTTTCCCAATATCCATCTGAAAACTATTTGCTTGAATTTTAAATCCATTATTTCTTGTCATAGCTTCTAGAACAGGTTGATATTTTGTTTTAGCCAGCTAATCTTTCTTCTTTCTGATATGTTACTAGGATGGAATACATTATCAGTGGTCAGATAAAAAACACATTAGCCTCAGTCGTTGGTCTGAAGAAGACAAAGATTTAGTTGATGACTGCGTGTATTTGGATACTGATGGGTTCTGGAAGACATCTGAATGTTATACAGAAAAACCAGGAGCAATTTGCTACTTACCAGAAAGTAGGGGTGCTCTTATTACTATATGTCATGAATCTATAGCTTTGCATTGAAAATGCTTTTGGAAATATTTTAGATCTGTAAAATAGAAATGAAATTATATAATTATATAAAAAGATAGAAAATAAAACTATTATGTATTATATATGTACTTAAAATTCCATAGCTGCCCACCCAGTCCTTTCATAATTCTTACTGACTGTACCAACCACTCAATTATTGGTTTGTGAATTTGGAATAAGTTTCAAGGGGTCCACCTTCTCTTTCTTCCCCTCTCTAAAATATATCTCTAGTCCACTCCCCTGCCTATTTTTTAGCGTCAGCTTCCTCATAAATCAGAAGCTGCTCAAGATGATCTTGAATGCTATAAGTGTGTGTGCGTGTGTGTGCTAGACACGGTCACAATGATGAATCCCTTTTCAATATTTTGACATTATATTCTCATCCAGCTAGGCAGTCTCTGCTCAGGCCTCACTGTTCCAAAGATAAAGGTATTAATATTGAGGAGTGGAGACTAGCTCAACTTGCTATCAGGTTTAGGCTCCAGATTGTAAATAGATTCACACCTAGCAATTCAGACGGAGAATTCACTTTTTGGAGAGGAAGTGGTACCGGGCCAATTGATTATAGGCTAATAGTTTACAATATATCTGCTATGTATTCCAGCCAAGGCTGATCTGATTCTAACCTCCTCAGAAGGCCTTTTCACCTTAAAAAGGAGTGTAAAGAACTCCTGTGAAGGAGAGAACTGATGTGGCAAGTGGCGAATGGGAAAGGCTGACACAGGTTGTTCAAGGGAAAACAATTGACCCATCTTCTGATGCCATATCTCCCACGCAGCTCCAAAGCATGGCTCTGGAGTTGGCCAGTTAATCTTTTTCGAGATCTTAGTCACTCACATTTGTGAGCTGTTTCATATAATAGCCAGCAAATCAGACCTGTGCCTAGCATTTCTTGGCGCTCTACTTCTTTTGTTCTTTTGGCTTCTTTGGCCTCAACTTTGAACGTACTTAAACTCGTTGCCCAACTGAGAAATGGCAAAATGGCTGGGGGTGGGGGCATGATTTCTGCCGGAGCTCCTAAAACTAAATCCAGAGTAGTGGGCCATTGCGCTGGCACCTTTGTTCACTCACATCGGTTAACTCTTTATAGACACCTAAAGAGCAGAGCTGCTCCACAATACCACCAATTTGTACAAAAGTCTAACCTGGTCCGCTATTAGATTCCAGTACATTTACGTTAAAAAACTAACTTCTTCCCTTATTAGCAGATGTTTGGGATTCAATGCTTTTTATTAGGGGACCAGTCTAGCAAAATCTCTGGGAAAGTTGTAAGATTTTGCACCTTCACAAAAGTACTGTTAGAAGGTGTTTGGTCTGATCTATGCATAGAAAAAGATAAGTGTTGACATACATGCTGGTTTATGAAAGCTGGCTGTTTCTTATGATTCTTCTCTTTGTTAAATTGCTTGTTTTGCTTTCTGTGTTAACTTTTGGTCTATGAATATACAGCAAAGGACAAATAAATAAAAATCTAGCTAGCCTGAGAAATACTAAAACAGTGTCATTTGGGGGTGGGCAGGGATATGTCATAAAAGCCAAGGTGGCAGTCGAAGCAGCAGTCAAAGCTGACCCTTTTATATATGCATCAATATCATATGCCATACAAGGGCAAAGCTTTTATCACAATACTGCGACCACCATGTTGACTGTGAACTTCCTTGTAGCAGAAGTTGATACATAAGGAATGCAAAGCCGTAGATACAAAAAATGAAGAATGGGAATACATTTAGTTAAGCTGATTAGAAAGTATGTATTATTAGGCAGAATTTGTGTGTGTGTGTGGTAAAATGCACATAAAGAAGAGGAAGCACAAGTGATTCTTATCCCATTCAAACCATTGTCCCTACTGATTCTGTGAGAATCACTCTAAATGCCCTTGTGTTTTTCATAGCGTTGCCTAAATGCCATTCTATCTACCAGAGAAAGATAAATAATAGTGATGACATTGACTCAAAAGAGACATTTTAACATTCTAATCCTTTTGATTTTGCATTCTCATTCCTGGTAGCCAAATGTATTGGATTTTCCCTGACCACAGAATGATGTTATTAGTGACCATGGTGCAGTCAGTGGCAAAGCATCCAGTAATTCTCAGCTGATGAAAGTTTTATTGTAGGCCAGTTGAATGTATTTTAGATATTAAGCACTGCCTTTAAAAGGTTTTTTTTTTTTTCAGATGATACTGAAGAGCAAGAAGCATATTATGAATCAATTAGATGTCCACACAGGATTAAGAATTCACCATGGATAGCATATCGAAACAGTTGTTACTCATTTGTGATACCAAAAACTAGATGGAAAGGATTGAGATCAGTTGAAGCTAACCATTTATGCAGGAAAATGAGTAAGTTATTCCTCTTTAAATTCTGTTCTTATTTTGTGTGTGTGTGTTCATACACTTTTTGAAGAACCTTTTGGGATCTGAGAGCACCTTAATTTTGTCTATTACTCTATTTGTTACTTGCTGCATGCAAACTGTATCAACTGATCAATACATGGAGAAAGCTACCTATTATATTTTTAATGTAACTGTATTTAGAGAATGTTATATTTAGATAACATAACCAATTGTCATAGTTGGAAGACTGAATTAAGTTTTGTATATTACTCGAAGCTACATTATATGTCTTCTCTGGCTTCATCTGTATTTTGTTGGCTGCAAAATTATAAAACATAATAAAAGCAGTCGTTGGTCAACTGGTATGCTTTGTTAACATGAACTTCAGTCAAGACCTTTCCTTGCTAGGTAACCATTAAAAGAGCTGGCCTCTTAAACACCCACTTCTCCTCTCATTAGGGTAAGAAGGCTTCCTAGAGAAAAAGCTTCCAGGTTGCATTCTCTAATGAAATGCAATATTTGTATAATAAAAACGAAGCCAAAATATTAGAATCTTGCTGAATTGTAAGAATAACCCATTTAGTTCAACATCCTGTTTCCAAGACTGGCAAGAAAATGCCTACAGCCAAATTATAGGCAGATCAACAGCACCTCTGCTACTGATTCAATTCTTTAAAGTGGAGGCTGTATTCACCAATAATGAATAAAGTTGACAGCTATTTTCTGTGAATTTGCCCTAATGGCCTCTTAAAGTCATATAAACGATTGCTACAACTTCTGGCAGGGAATTCCACCTATTAATTACCTACAGAATTTATTCCCATTATTTTCTTACTGAATTTTATTAAATTGTGGAGGTTGGGAGCAGAATGTCTTCTTTCTCATGCTTTGGCACTGTAATCCTCTTTAATTATTGCTTGTAGCTGTATCATTTTCCTTAGGAAAGTCCCCAGTCAACTCTTCCTTGTAAGACACGTCAGCTGTCTACATATTTTCCAGCTGTACATATCTGTGTTTAGCTGCATTATATGTACATTGAGGGTGTTATGGTCCTGGGTATTATTTCCTGACATTGTCTAACATGGTACTTGCCACTGTCATTACGCAATATAGTGACTTTAAGATTTCTTTCACGGACAGTGGTACTCAGATTTGATCCTGGGCTTACATCTTAAAAATGATAGTGTTATAAAGTCCTCCAAATTCATTCCATGATTTAATTTTTTAAATTTTTTCAACAGATTCAAATGCATCTCTTTTGAATGTCAAGGATGAAGATGAAAATGATTTTGTTATTGAGCAGTTTCATTCTTTCAGTGGCCTTGCTCAGTGGATGTGGTTGGGTCTGCTTTATGACACTAAGGGTAGGTTGGAACTCTTTTATTGGCTCTTTGCTTTTTGTATTTACAGAGGGACTCCGATAATTTTACATTAATTGAAGAAAACTGGGGTGGAAAAAGAGTTCAGTGTACCTTTTATTATATTATATAAGCAAATGTTATATTTGTTTCAGTTACAATTGTCAGCTGGAAGCGAATGGGGCGCTTCTCCAAATTCACTTATTTTTAAAAAAGTTACCCTTATTTAAGATTATTTTAATTGTTGCAAACTACAACAGTGGCCTAAAAGGGCACTTGGTGGATAAATAATAGAGTCACTAATTTGAATTGCTAAAAATAATTAATATTTCTATGAGTGTTCTAAGTGCAGTTTAAGAATGACTGAAGTGAAGTAATGCTCTGTTTCCAAATCCTTCAGTAAGTATGCACTCTTGAAATGGGCAGGGCTCCTGATTTTCATTGCCCTTTGTCCTTTCAAGTTGTGTTGATATTGCCAAGGGGTGTGGTATTTTCAGCCCTTTCATATTTTCAAATGCAGCTGATAGCACTTGGTATTGTGTATTTCCCCTCCCTATATATCGTATATTTTCCTCTGCAGATAACCTTCTGAGGTGGTACGATGATACATATTTGTCGTATAATAACTGGAGAACGGGACGACCTAATGTCAGGAATAACTCCTTTCTTGCTGGTATTAACCTGGATGGTTTCTGGGACATTTACAATTATACACATAATAACCGGTTACATTTGCAATTCAGTCTGCATAGCGTCCTTGTCTGCAAGCTAGACCTGGGTAAGAAATATCTCCTGTTTGGATTGAATTTCAAAATTCCACTGACTTTTCATTAAGCAGATACAGGAAAGCAACATATATTTATTCATTGTCTTTACTATAAAAACAGACACCAAAGTGAACCAACCTCCACTTCCTAAAAAGCTGCCCTACAAAAATAATACCTATTGGGTTCTTCAGAAACAGCTCAATTGGTATGAAGCTTGGAAAGAATGCAAACAGAAAGGAAGTGATTTAGCCAGCATTCACAGTGTTTCTGAACAACTGTTTCTGGAAGACATTGTAAAGCGTGATGGATTTCCACTCTGGATTGGTTTATCTAATCATAATGTAAGTCAAATCACATATGGCAGATTCTTAGATCCGTTTACCATATACGCATAAATGTAATATTCTACATTCTCCAGTTTTTTTGTACTCCGACCTTTTATGCTTCCTTCTTCTGTCTTTGGTGCTCTTGTCATAGAATCAACCCCCCAAATAATTTTGATTTTCTGATTTCAAGCTTCAGGTTATATCCAACTGTACCCATCCCTTTTCAGTGTTAATACCTCAACTTCTTTCATAAACTTTTTTTCTCGCAACTAATGTTCTGTGCTCAAGTTTCAATCTGTATTCAGAGCCTAGAGTATTCTTCCATACACCAATTAAAGTTACCAAACCTGCCCCCTTCCACTGAGATCAGTGGAGAGCTTTTTAAAAGTTTAATTGCCATATGGTGAGCAATATCTGATGGGGGTGGGGGGAAGTCACAGCTAGGGAGGGATGAGTTAATTCTTTGATCCCTGCCAATACTGGCCCCTGAACACACACACACACCATGTGAGATTGGAGTGCTTTACTTGGGGGAGGACAGAAATGAGCAGAAGAGAACTTGTTACTGGTTTTCAAAAAATTAAAAATCATGACATGGGACCTGTATATTTGGTCAGAAGAAAATAATATATGACTGCTTAGTTCTGCATCTACTGTATGAGTCTGACTGATGGAGACCCTGCTGAGAAACTACCTCTTCCATACAGGGTTGCCTTTTTGGCATGTTGTCCAGAGGAGGTCTTGCTTACATGTCTGGATGGTGGTGGAAAGAAGTGTATTCACTATGCCTTATACTATTTGAAAATATTATTGTTTTATTTATTTACTTTCTTATTTTACAATATTTGTACGCTCCCCACTTTGCAAGTCTTTTGGCAAGTCACAGTAGTAATCCATCCTCAAAGGACATCATAGCATTAAAATCATTAAAGTGTCATTAAACTTAAAATCTTAAAAACAATAATCACCAATAGATATTATTAAGAAATAGGGAATAGACACTTAACCTTTAATTAACGTTACATGGGCTCATGGACTTTTTCTGCCCCAAAAAACGATGGCATTCTGTTTGAGTACTCTTTGACAGCTATCCTAAAATGTTTGTATTCTTTTATGATTAAAATGAATACGTTTTGCTGCCGTGTATTTATGTTTAGGACCACAGTATCCATGATGTAGAAGCTAAGGAGTTCATATGGCTTTGCCCGTACAAGTAAGCCATTTTGCATAGATATAGTAGGAGGAAAACCATATCTGACCCAAGACTTAATCAGTGGAGTAATGAAACGTTAACCCTTTGCCCTATTCCACAAGCCATATCTCAGTTAAGCATCTCCTACTTGCTGTTTGCCTTGGAAGGAGAGCAGTGAGGTGGCTTTTCAGCACAGGCATGCAGCAGGGCTGTTCTGGATTGGGACCTTGTATCTCCACTGTAATCATTAACACAATGGCTAATTGCACTAGTATTGCCAAATAAAATAAGTCCTGAGGGCTTGGTTCTCAGAATACAACCAAGCACCAGCTGAGTTCATGTGCTATGGTGTATATCAGAAAAGAATGTTAAGAAAGAGTCTGAATTTGTCATCAGTTCAGGTAATAACTATTTACTCTAGTGTTTGCTAAAAACAAGTGCACCATCAGCATTGATCAACAGAGTTGCACCTTCTCTAGGGAAATGATTCCGATTTTGAGTGGTCCGATGGAAACACGTTCGACTACCAGCCTTGGGAATATCAGCATTCTCATTCTTCTGGAAATTGTTTTGCTATGGACACTAAAGGAATTTGGAATCGCATGAAATGCACCTATCGAGGTGATGGTGCTATCTGCTACTATCCTTCCAATAGTAAGTATGCATTCCTGTATCATTTGATTTTTTTCTACCTAAGAAGCCATAAAACAAAGGAATGCGAGTTTTCTCCTGTTCCATGCTGAATACATTTCCTTAGAGGCAAGCAGATCTTCCTGATAACATGGCAAGATAATAGTTTTCAGCCTGCAAAGTGGCCTTGAGCATAATAAAAATAAAACACCCCTTGTTTTCAAGCTGCCTCAAAAGGTCATGGCACAGAATAAAAAAAGACAAAAGCAAGAAAAGTTGTCTTTAATGCTTAAGGTTTTGTTGGTATGTGCCAACTGTGATGGAAATGGATTGCTCAAGCGGCAGATTGCTTCATCTTCCTCCTCCTCAAAGTAGGTATTCCTGCTGCTCTTCCTCAGAGATGGTGTTACAAAGCCCTGGGATGAATGAACTCTTACAAGAGCAGCGTGAAGACAGTTCTGTGCTGGCTGCTTCTCTCCTTTTCCTCATTGGGCACTTTGGTCCATTTATCAGAGACTTTTCCTTGTATGGAACTAGATCTATGTTGTGTCCACTGTGTTACAATCAGCTGAAAATAAATTTAAAAGATTCCCATTAAGGAATTAAAGTCAGAGACTGTCAACAGCAGAAAATTACATAAATTGCTTATTTGAAGTTATATATGACATGAAATCTTTGGACAGCTACTTGAAATAAATAGTAGAAGATGTTTCATAAAGAACACAGAGGGTACATAGTATAAATTGTTTACATTTTTTCCACTGGATGTTTAAGACATAGAGGTAGTCCTCAACTTACAACCATTCGTTCAGCAACTATTCGAAGTTACAATGGCACTAAATAAATGGTGGCTATAACCAGTCCTCAGAGTTCCGGCTGTCCCAGTACCACCATGGTCACATGATCATGATTTGAGTGCTTTGCAACTGGTTCGCACTTACAACCAGTTGCAGCACCCTGTGATCATGTGATTGCCATTTGCAACCTTCCCTGCTGGCTTCCCCAGAAAATCAATGGGGAAGCCAGCAGGGAAGATTGCAAGTGGTAAGTCTCCCCCACCTGCACACCCTTTCCCAGCCCCTCTGTGCTTGCACCAAGCCAACCACTCTCACACTACCATGCATCCTGCCAACACTTGTGCCACCCTCACGCACATCCTTGCACCTCCAGGCACCCTCCCTGACCCACATTGTGCCTCTCGTGCACTCTCCCCAACCTGCACTGTGCCTCTCATGCACCCTTCCCCCACTGCACCTCTTGGCACCCTCATGAACCCGACCTGTACACCCCCTCACACCCTTCCTGACCTGCATTGCACCTCTCGTGTACCCATGCACAGCCTCTCAGAATCACGCCACACCCTCTCCCACCTGGCAGCAGCCACTTACCTGCCTGCCAGCCTGGGATTTGCAACTTCCTGCTGGCTTCCCACTGACTTTGGTTGCGGGAAGTCGGCAGGAAGTTGTCTCGCCTAACAACCATGGGATTTGGTTAATGCCAGCAACCGGGACTTCAGGGATTGCCATCACTAAGTGATGCAGTCATGCTTTACAACCAAGTTGCTTATAGTGACAGAAGTTCCGGTCCCAGTTGCTGTCATAAGTCGAGGACTACCTGTAAATACTTACCCATCATGCTATTCCCTTTTGAGATAAGCAATGTTATGCAGAGCACAGAAAAGAAGAAATAGTAAGCCAAATAAATTAAAGGCATAAGATATGAAAAAGAAACATAGCTAAATCTACTTTACATTAATACCATTCACTATGTCTCCATAACTTTCTGTCCTTGCTTCTGCTACATCTGCACACCACTTTACACATTGCCACCTTACATCTCTGTTTTTGAGAATCTCATCAATTCCATACCCTTGGTTACATCATATAATCCATTTAACACTCACTGCGGACAATTCAGGTTCTCATCCAGCAATATCAATTGCATACAAATATGGACGCACCTTCACATCTCCAACCAGCACACCTCTAACACCACAAGCATTCCGTATACATTTACCCATAAATACTTCCAGCAACCAAGGGAACATCACACATCTTTGTCTTGCTTTCTAAGTGGTGAACCCCTAGAAGGGCCCCTAAACGACCTCCACTGCCTATTGTGGTTTTGACCATTTGAGGCTTTCACGCAACACTTTTTCATAAGGGAGACAATATGACTCTTACTTGCCATATTGATACTTGTGCCACAGGCAGGATTCCCAGCTGGTGGTAAGGACAGCACTGAATAGTTTTGGCCCATTTTGGCAAGTAGGCCACCAGCACAACCAAAGCCCAGTTTTACCTCGTGCTAGATTTCTAATCTAGAGACAGTTTTACTAACCAACATATTGGTCCCACATACAGCTGAGTACAAAGTATATGACCGTTTATCTGATTTCATGGAACTGCTTGTTGGGCTGCTGCTGAAATGTTTAGGATTTTAGCATGTTGGCAGTTTGTGGGTATGCAGAAGATTCAAGCTAGCTTTATACTGCTGCCCCTTATCTGGGGGCTTTTGTTGATATTGCAAGTTAATCTAATTGTATGTTGTCTGAGGCAAGATATACTTGCTTGCATTACTTCATGGGGGCATCCCATAGTTACCACGTGGTGTTAATGTACATATCCCCGGTGTTAGTAATACAAATTTCTCCAGGGTGTCTACATATTATGACCTGACAAGTGACGGTAAAATTGCCTGGAAGCTGTAGTAGAATTTCCTGATGGTGGTGTGTGTTCTGCTCTGCTGCCGAGAGTGGAATGCATAAGGGTGCAGTTGCCTGCATCGTAACTCTCTTGCCAGGATCCTGCTCTCTTGTATGCAAAAGTGGGCAGAAGTATCCTTAAGGGAGCCCTCCCTTCTGTAGTTAGGGGTGGCAGATATAAAGGAATCCCTGTAACACTTAGGCAATGCCTTTGTGCCTTTGATGAACCTGAAACCCTAGATGTTTTTCTAAGTTCTGTGCAGAATGGCACTCTCCATTCGCCCTCTAACAGAAAGACTGCCTGGCTGCCCAGATCAATGTTACCTAGAAATTTTCATAAACAACACATGTCCCAAAATCCCCGTTTTAATTGCTGTTTTCTGTCTTAGCTATAAGTCTATGTCATATCTAGATTTGTTACTAGAATACACCATGTATTAAACTGTTACAATGTTAATATATTTTTGGATTGTACTTGGGTTGTTCTAACTTACATTGTACTGGTCACGGACCGTAATAAAGGAAGATGAAGATAAAGATTCTTTAGAGAGAATTATAGAAAATGCCCCTAATCCATTCCCAGTGCAGCAGAATTCTGGGTTGTAGCCCAACATTTAAACGCTCAGCTTAACGTCTGTTTGCCAGATAGATAACAGCGTATCAATTGATAGAGCCCTCTGTTTTTGTTTTCAAGGAGAAGAAGCTCTCTGAGTCGAGCCTGGTACCCATTTTCTCCTTTCCCAGCACAGAATGTTCACTGTTGCTCTCACAGCATTAGAGCAGTTTATATAGCTGGAATCTCTATTCCCTTTTCCTGCAGAAACCTTTATGTAAATCCACTTCATGGACTCAGGACAAACATTTATTAAGTCAAAGCGGTTGCATAGACCTAACTGCCAGCTAGATGGTTCCCTAAATTGCTGTTTTCAAGTCACTCAGGAAAAAGCACTCTAAGCTACTTAAGAGAAGATTTTCTGGTTTATTGGCATGGTTCCCCCCCCTCTTTTTGGGAGGGCACTACAATACATTCATTTGGGTGAAAGCCCAAAGTTTTAAGAGCCAATGCCGGACAATACCATCTGCCTTGTAAAAGGGGGGAGGAAAATCAGTGTTAATGCAGATATTTTCATTCCTCCCTAAAGCTATTGTTTCCTAAGAATTAGAACACTTTTTCATGAAGATGTGCTATTACTTATTAGCAACCGTATTTAGACCATCAGAGCTTTGTTTTATTTATATTTTGAATAGCTATAGCAATACTAAAACTCAGTTCACTGAGCACAGAATGTTAATATTTGAATAAGGTTGATTATGGCATTTGTGTTTTCACAGAAATGCAATCAAAGCAAACTGAAACATCACCAAATTGTCCAAAACCTCCTAATGGATCATCACAGTGGCTACACTACAAAGATCATTGCTATGCATTTGATATGGCATTTTATAATTATTCCACATATACTGGCAACACGGCTAAGAAAGTTTGCAAGAAACTTGGTATGCCCAAATTATATTTTTCTTTTCTTTTCTTTTCTTTTTTTTTTTTTGGTTAATGAGTTATTTTTTCCCATATTTTAGATAATGTCTTAAGTAATTTCTATTGTGCATTTAAATAAATTAGATTTTCCTCATTTAAGATAAACGTTTTCTCATTAGATCCTTCTGCAGATCTTCTGACTATCAAGGATGCAGAGGAAAATAAGTTTGTGAGCACACATTTAAAAGAATATTATTTTATTACTGGAAAAGCATGGCTTGGAATGCAATCTAATGGTAAGAATTTGATAACTATTAAATACATAACAATAAAAACCATTCTGATGTTTGAGTGGGACTGGGGGAAATCACGCTGAGTCTTTATTCAACCAAGGCACTCCCTAGTTTACTTTAAACAGTTGCTCTTTCAGCCCAGCAATTGTTCTGAAAGTAGACTTCTAGAGGAAAAGCTGGATGTAATATTAAATAAGATTTGGAAATGACAAAAACTATATAGTACAAGAACAAAGTCTAGGTATAAAAAAAGTGTAGGGTATATTTGTGTTCATGGAAACCAAGGGGTGTGTACATGGAATGTACTGTGCATAGCAAATAATAAAAGACATTTTAATTAACAGACTTTGGAGAGATAATCGCTTTTGTTACTCTGCACATTTCTAGTAATTTGAATTTAAGCACAGGCAGTAAGAAATGAAGTTAGATGAAATGAAAGGCCAACAGATTTGGCCAGTTAGATCAGTATTTTAATTTCAGCCTTATCTTTTCACCTCCTGGACATCTTCATCTCCCCAGTTTTTTGTCCTCCATTCTCCCCTTCCTCTTATCTACGTTCCACAGTTCCAAATTCAGTTCTCCCTTCTGGGGCCTTCTTGTTCCCCTGGTCAGACCCCTCTGCCTCAGGGTAGCTTTTCTGTGCCGGCACTGCCAGCTGCAAGCCAGCAAGGCTGGATGCCTGCCACAGCCCAGTGATATGCAAACTCAGGCAGAACTTTCCGAAGCAAAGAGCCCCTTTTAGCTATAGCTGAAGAAGGCAACTGTAACGGGTCGAGACCAGGAATCTGATAAACGACGAAGGCATGAGATGCGGTGAAGTGGACTCCAGAGTTCAAAGCGTGGGCCAGCAAGGCAAACGTGGCAGAGCTGAGGCTGGAAAAGTGGTCCTCAGCTTTTCTCTCAGGGAGGGGGGCCAATCAAGAAGCCAAGCTGAGCGGCCACCCAGATGCCCAGCTGAGGCCCCTCACTTGGTAGAGCCTGCTCTCCTTCTGGCCTGCTTCTCGGCCAGTCTCTCTGACCTGCAGAGCTCAGCCCTGGGGGTTTGCTGGATATGCCTCAGCCAGAGCAGATTCATAGGCTTCAACGCTGCTGGAATTGCCCCCTCCGGAACTCCAGATGCCCCTGGCTCTACTTCCTCCTTCTCCTCCTCCTCATCAGAAGACAAATCCAGCAGGGCTATAAAAGTAGTTTTCTAGGACCTGAAGTGTCCACCCATCTGTAGCCAGCAGTGTACTGTCTTAATAGGGTTGGGCAATATGTGGCCCTCCATGAATTCCAACTCACGTTTACCACCGCGGATGTGGCCAGTGGTGAGGGATAAGGAGAATTGCAGTTCCAGTAGCATTTAAATACATATGCCACTTCAATAAAGAGTAGCTTACTTCTACTGGAATCTGACAGCCAGCTCTATTCTGTGGCAGTGTACCCCAAACAAGAGTTGGGGGCTTGGGGTAATGACTACAGTTGGCAAACTGCTTTACCATAATGTTCTCCTGGTAGTGCAGGCTTCCCTCGGGCCTTGCACTGCAGCAGCGTTAGAGCCCTTGTTTGGAGAAGGAGGTTTCTAAGGGAAGTTTTTGTTGCGTCTGTTGTTTGGCATCAGCTGCTAATCAGAAAACCTTCCCCTAAGATTTCCTGCCACCAATTATGCTAGCTACTCAGGGAATATGCACTTGGCTCCCCACAAGCTGATGTTCTGAAGCTTCCTGGAATGACCAAAGTGTGCTTTTACAAGATTGGTGTGATTCTTTCCTACTTTCCTGATCTAGTGCTTAAATTAATCAGGCACTATCAGTAAAGGTCTGTAATTTAGGGAAATAACTCTGCTTTGATTTTTGAACGTGGCAAATGGGTAATTGGCTAAGCTTTAGGAGAGTTTTTGGGTACTGAACCAGATTAGAGCTCTCTTCTGGTTCAGTATACCATAGAAGTACACATCAAATTCTTGAACTGATTTTGATAGCCAAGTATACAATAAATTGTATGTATAGTGAGTAATAAGTGAAAGACATTGTTGCTGATAAATTAAAAAAGAAATGTTTGGGGCTTTTATTTACAGTCAAGTCCTTGAGCTGGCTTGATGGCTCTGAGGTTAAATATACAAATTGGATCAATGGAAGCGAGAAGGCTGATGGTCAGTGCAGTGTTATCTTTTCAACTAATGGGGCATGGTCCAAAACAGACTGCAATAATGAACCAAGCAGAGTTGTTTGCAAAGCTCCTCAAGGTATGTAATGATGATTTAGTTTAGTCAGCTGTGGATAAGCTATCTGGTCCTTTCCAGATATTAGGCTATGGCTTGTAAAAAATGGTGGGATAAAAATCTAATAATAATAATAATATTTTGCTGTGACCAATGATGATGGGAATTGCTTATTCCACAATAGAGTAATCTTTTTTAAAGAATACAATGGCATAATTGTGGTGGCATGATGGGCAATCTGCACACAAGGGGAGCAGCGCACACTGATTCTGTTCACATGACTCATTTAACTGGATCATGGAGTGGTGGGTAAGTACTAATCCCCCACTTGGTATTGTGTGAACTATTTAATTTTGTTAGTTGTTTCTCTTGACATCTGTATTGAGGCAGAGCCCTAGAGAGACCCTACAAAAATCTTCACATCTGGCCATTTTCACTTTCCTATGTCCATAGGGCTGTGTGAAAAGGGGCAGAAATGGATGGAGTGGATAGCCCCACCCTGCCATAATTACAGTGCCACCATGATTATACCATCACAAGTTTCTTTTTCACCCTCTGTGGTGGATAGGAGGATTGAAAACATGGCCGCTGTCCAGTTACCCTGGCACTCCTAAGGTGAAATAACTCATGCAGTGATCACTGGGCCAGCAGTGCCATGTGAACAGGGCCAGTATGAATCACAGTGTAGGTTTAATGAGGTTCCTTTCCTCTCCCTTCCTGGCTGACTTTTTGCCAGTAGCCCTACAGCTATACATCCCATGTACTACACCAGGCATTAGATATAATAAGGTAAATCATTGAGGAAGATCATAATGCTTCTATGAGGATAAAGGGGACAAGTGTAGGTCTTCCTTTGTCAGTAACAAGAAGATCCCAGTGTACTCGCCAAGTGCCATCTGCAGGGAAAAAGGACTGAAGGGAAATTTACTTGAATCTTTTCTGCACATTCAGTGTTGTTTACAGAGAAGGTGGATTCCCTTTTAATTCTCTAAGGTGAGGAGTTTCATGGATTTTAGGGAAATTGGGCAGTAGATTAGCTGTTAAGGAGGCCAGCTGCTGCAACAAAGCCATGTGGAGCCTCACAATCAGGTTGATCGGTTGAGATCCACTGTGACTGAGCAAGGAGGAAGAGAAGCAGATATAAGGTGTACCAGAAGTCAGATCCCATACAATAAACAATCTAAAGCAGTGTTTTTCAAACTTGGCAAGTTTAAGATAGGTGGACTTCAATTCTCAGAATTCTGGGAGTTGAGGTCCACCCGTCTTAAAGTTGCCAAGTTTGAAAAAGACTGATCTAAAGGAAACCTTCACGTTCGATTTTGCAAACATCAGAGAAAAAATTACTGTACTGAGGAATGTTTGAAGGTCGTGCATCAAATGAGTAACAAAGCATTTAGAAGAATATATCAACCCATTCAAACACTTAATGTAATTTATATAGCAAGTTGTCTATGGGGCCTGACTTTTGATATACCCTGCATATTGTATAGACCACCTAACCCTATCCTGTAAAGAAACATACTTTATATATGCGCAATAGCCCACCCACCATTTTGCACATTGACATAGTAACAAAAACCAAGGACAAACTGTGCCTACATGAAAACCTTTTCCTATTTAGCAAAATCTGGTCTTTGTCAACTCCCAATTCACAAAACTGCAGATAATGAGAGTCACCTGTAGTTATTAATTCAATTATTAACCTGTAGTTATTAATTCAATTTTTTTTTTTCTTGCCCTTGCTGTGTGTGGCAGATATACATAGACAGGCACGTATGTGCACATATACAAGTATGTATATCGGTTTGAGGCAGTGCTGGCCAATCCAGTGTGTGGAAGTGGGCAGCGCACAGCATTTTTCCAGTGTTTATACACCATTTCTGTCTAAATTCTTAGGGAGCAGGGGTGTACTTTTCATTTAAATTCAGTATCTCCAGAAATCCTCATTTTCTGCCAATATTGAGACCTGTAAAACAAAACCCATTTTTTTTCTGAACTCTTTCCTTTTCTTTAAGGGGACAATGTGATGCTTAAAGTAATTCCTATTCAGAATTCACCAGAGGATATTTGAGATACGGGTTTTGCCCCTCTACTTGCTTACCTTGAAAAGACCAGGACACTGGCATTTCTTCAACCGTGCATTTAAATGTTAGGGTAATCTTAATACTTAGTTTGATTTAAAATGTGGCTGAATATTTTCATGTTTGCTTTGTTTATTCAATATTTTTATGTTTGACTGACTTTGATCACCCTCTAGATAGAAAGACAGGATATGAATAATAATAATTATTATTATAAGAATTATAACAATAATAAAACAACAGCATCATTTGGTTTGCAGTTACACTACTCTGTAAATTCAATCATTAGCTTTTTTTGTCTTGCTTTTTTCTTACAGTCCCTAGTCATGCAGGAGGGGCAATAGCAGTTTCTGTTTTATTTATTGTGGCCCTTCTTGCTGGATTAATATACTTCCTGTATAAAAAGAAGCAACTACGCTGGTCTGGATTCTCTTCTGTTCGCTATGAGCGGGGAATGCATGATGATGAAACTGATGCCATGTTTACCAGAGGTGATGACTGAAGACCATTTTCTGCTTGGCATACTGAAACCAATTTCTGAATTGGCTCCATGAGCACCTTCCAGAGATGCTACTGACTTTCATTCTCAAGGGTTTATTGATGCATACCCTTTTTTCAAATTTAGGAGAAAAGGGGTCTAACACCAATCAAACTTTGCACTTTTCGTTATCTGAGATTTGCACATGCCTTGAAGTATGGTGCATGGGACAAACCTGACGTTAGGATATCCTGTACCGTTTACCCAGATGAAGTAAGATAGAAGAGAGCCAGAGAATCACTCGAAATATAACTTATTGAAAATAAACTATGTGATAGTTTATGGTATTAAACATATTATATTTTAAAGTTAAAGATTATTTTGAGTCAAGCTCAACTCCTGATCTCTGCATGTATAGTTTACTTGGCAGCAGAATGGAAAGACCTGGGATTTGCCAGCCAAGCACCAAGCAGGTCTAAACTTACTTACCGTTTCTGAGGTCAGCCGAGGTCAGTGAGGTATTGCTATCTGCTGTGATCCTTTTTATTATTCTTCAGATCTCTTGGGGGCATTCTGTTTTTCATTAAAAGCTCCCAAGGATTTCTTCCATTTTGATCAAAGTTACAATTTAGATTTTGATTCAGTTACTGTGTTAACTTTTAAAGCTTGACTCTTATTTTTAGATACAACAAAAGAAGAGCAACAAGTTATTGTCAGACTACATTTTTCTTAGATCTTTTCCTAAATTTGCCGTATACACTGGAACAAGTTAACCTCAGTGCAAGGCCTAAATGAAAGCTTCAGAACCCCAGCCTCCATTCACTGTCCCAGATTCATGAATGGAAGTGTGCTGCGCAATGTGAAAGTTTGACATTGGTGTTTATTATTATTATTTATGTTAGACTTCACATTTTTCAAAAGAGGTACTATTAAGCTTTTTTCTTGTTAGCATTGGAAATGACTAACCTAAAGTCTTAGTCATGGTCAGAATGCTTTACTCATGTTTAAAACTGGAGCATCCATAATGCTTTGTTCTCTGTACATAGCACCATATTAGTTAGTGATTTCCCCTGTCCATTCATACTATCAGTTTCCTGCTCCTGATTCTTTGCTGTGCACGGAGGAAATCCCAGGTGATAGCTTTCTCTGATGGTACTTGTAACATGGAACAACTCCACACAGAGTAACCACAATATTTAAACCAGCCGTTAATAAATTTTACAAAAGTTATGTTACAAAAATCTTCTAATTTGAATAGTGGGGGTTTCCAAAGAGGTAGCTCGGCTGTCTTTTAATAAGAAGCCAAAGAATTTTGTGGCATTTGAAAGACTAATACAGTTGGTTAGTCTTTAAGGTGCCAAAACACTTCTAATTTTATGATTTGATTTGTAGCATTTCAGATTCATCGCTTATTTGAAGGGAATAGAACAGTTTTTATTAAAATGGTTCCTTTACTTTAATGAATAAAGTCAGCTCTTTTAAAAGATAGTGAATATCTGCCTTTGGAATTAATGATATGCAGACCTCTTTTCTTTTCTTTTTTTAAATCAGGCAGGTGTTTCCTATTCCATATAGGAGAGGAAATGCCCTCCACAGCAGTTATTAAATAAAAGCTACCATGTGCATATAGATGTTCTTCCCCTTTATGAAGTAAGGAACCTTTGCATGCCTGGAGTTCTATATTCTGTGGTTCCAATGTAATAGATACACAATACTGTGCACAGAGATAGAGCTGTGTGGTTGTTCTTATCTTGCCTTGTGGCAAAACAAAAACCCAAGCCTACAACTGATCTCTTTCCAAGTCCCTTTTTCCAAGACATTTTGCATGGTGTTTATAAACATGTGCATAAGTACATGCTTTTGTCTAGATGAACAGGACATTTGGACAGAAACCCATCTTCCCTGCTATTAATTGCTCTACTTTCTCTATGTTCATTTCTGCGCTTTTAGCCTTTGAGGGCTATTTTACCATGAACTTTCCAGGGATATCACCACAATGTGTGTGAAGACCTGATAAAGAAAAGAGGTAGTTTGTACTCAAGGAGTGACGACTATTCAGTTTTTTCACACCACTTGTAAAAGAAATACTGGATGGTTGTATATGCTCTGTGTCAGGAGTCAAAGGAATAAGGGCCAAAACTAGAGATGAGAGAAGTGCATAGAGGGGAGATATGCCAATGACCCTGCTCTTGTTGCAGTATCTGATAGATACGCATCATCCTGGTGCAAGAGCACCCCAGAAAGTTTTTCCAGTTGCCGCTCGCTGGGGTCAGAATGATCAGCCTTCCAAATACTGGCTCTTTGGTCACATGGGGAGTGATGTAGCTTTGCAACAAGAGCCACTTTAAGGAAGTATATGGAAGAAAACCCCAAAATATTTTCCAAAATTGCTGAAAGGCCTTTGATGGAGTAAACAAGAATGATATGTCATTCTGGGTACAGTCACAGAGGTGGGAAGATGCCCTTTGCCTGTGTGAGGAACCAAAATGCCTTTATCCAAGTTCTTAATTGATAATTATATTTGTTTACTGTTTAATAAACTTTGCATTTGATAACAGCTTTTCCCTGCCCTGAGGTAGAGGCGCAAGTGCGTCCCTGCCAAAGAGGTGGTGGTTAATGTTACCTTGGACAGACCTGGTCAGCCACTAGATGGCCAGGATTGAAAGCGAGGGAGAGCTGCATTCAGTCCCCATACACACCCCTGCAGATCAAAAAAAAGCAGACCGCTTACCGTATCTTAAAGGCATACAAAGACTTCATTACCAAGTACACAGGTGCCAGTCTGAAATAATGCTAGAGTTTAAAAGCAGTAGCGTTTTATGTGTGCGATGTTCTGTTGAATACATTTGTGCAACCATACACAAGATTATTTTGCACTCATGGGCTTCTTTTAATGTGAATCTATACATAGAATAGGGATATTCAGCCTAGAAATAAATATGAACAAAATATTCCAGTGTTTCTATGAAGGGTTTACAATCTAAAGTTTATTTTGTAAATTGTTTTTGTAAATTGTTTTAATTGTGTGGAATTTGATTTTTTCCCCACAAAAATATACTTGGACGTGTGGAGAAATGTTGCGTGAACTAATAGAAATGCCTTAATATACCTAATTAGCTCTCTTCGACAAAGTTTGCAGTGAAGCTTACCTGTGGTGGTGATAGGAGAAACAGAAGATTTATAAAAAGCTTCAATAATTGCTAGATTTGTATGTACAAGAAAATTATGTTAACTCAGTTCTTTCCTCCTTATTAAAATGTTTTGTAAGCTTCAATATTTTTTTAAAAAATGTCAATGTTAATAAAATTGTAAAAAGAGTCCTATTATTGATGAGTTTTTATTTATGGGGGAAGAGGACATTAAAGCTAAGGTTCCATCTGAACTACACAATCTATATCCTCCTCAGATGGTAGGAAAGTGTGAGTTTTCCCTATCTTTTTGCTGCCATCTAATGGTGGTACGGATTTGTGCAGCCCAAATTTGGTAGCTGTCATTAAGCAGATCACAAAAGACAAATTTTTTTAAAACCTTTATTCAGAAGATAGAGCATTTGCCTACCCAAATGCTGCCTTTCCCCCTATATATAATATTTATATTCTCATTCATATCAGAAGGTAAGGGATATTTGATAGACCTGGGCTCCTTTTTTTCTTAATGTATATGAGGCAAGCATAAATGATGGTTGGAGCACCATCAGAGGAAAACACTAAGTCTGACACGGCATGGGTAAAATCCAATATAAGGGATTATCTTGTGGCAATAAGGGCAGCGAAACACCAGTAGTTCTCCCTTATTGGATTCACTGATAGCCATCCAGTGACCCTGTTTAGGGTGACCCAGTCCCTATTGGATAGGGTGGGTCCCTCAGAACATCTGTTGGGTTACTGTGAGGATTATTCAAGCTGTCTGACAGATAAAGTCACTCAGATCCACTCCACCTTGGACTCTAACTGGCCAGGCCGAGCCAGGTTGAGGTACCCAGGGCAGAGTTTGGTTCTGTGATCTGTGTCTCTCCTGGGTCAACAATATAGCTAGGGAGGTGACCCACAGTTGGGTCCATGCTATAGGGTCAGCCTCTTTGATGGGGGGAGTGATGCCTCCTGCCTTGAAGGAGGTGGTGGTATGCCCCCTCTTCAAGAGGCCGTCCTTGGACCCCACAGTTTTGATGACTATTGACAAATCTCCAACCTTCCCTTTCTGGAGGAGTCTAGATTCAGTAAGCTTTCAGGCTGGGATTTAGTACTGAGGCAGGTTTGGTCATGCCTGTAAATGTGACCTGTGGTGGAACGAGGATGGTGGTGGTGCATGATGAAAGATTTGGAGGAGAAAGTTGAAAAAGCTCATTTTGAACAATGTTTAAAGTAATGCCATCCGCTCAGTGAATATCAGGCCATTTTACAAATTAAATCTATTTAATTGTACTTTATGCATTAGACAACTAGAAACATTAGTTCTAAATTTAATTCAGTTTGAGCAGATTTTATAATTATACTTCCTGACAGCATAAGCTGTCTCTTCCAATCCCATTGTACATACATGCAGTATCTCCCTGAAAGCAGCTTGGGGGAAAGTGTGTGTGTATGTGTGTAATTTGTTCAATCGTGTCCGATTCTCAGAGACTGCCTGGACAAGTCCCTGCAGTTTTCCTGGCAAGGTTTTTCAGAAGCAGTTTGCCATTGCCTCCATTGCCTCCTTCCTAGGGCTGAGAGAAAATGGCCCAAGGTCAGCTGGTATATAATTTTATAATTTTAGAAGCTGTCTCTTCCAATCCCATTGTACACCGACGCAGTGTCTCCCTGAAAGCAGCTTGGAGGAAAGTGAATTACTTTCAGTCTAAAGCAAAAAGCCTTCCAGCTAATCCACATTAAGAGTTCATTAGCAAGGCCACTTCAATCATGGCAGAGCAAAAGGGGAATTCCTAACTGGGAACATGTTGATGAAGAGCAGCAAGTGATTAGAAGGGCATGGATCCATAAAACGAAGACATCTGTTTCATTATTCTCCCTTCACAAGAACATTCAGGGTCAGCTCACCCAAGCAGAAGACCTGCAGTTGGCCACTGGGTAGCCCCTAAGCTTGTGCGAGCCTGGCAGTGTTAGAAAGCTACAACCACACAGCTTTCTGCATACCACCCTATCCCAGGCTGAACTCAAGCAGCATGTCTGTAGAATACATCCTGTGAAACTTGCTCCCAAAGTAATCACCAAATTGTTGTGATATTGAGTGGTAGCATTTTAAAAGGCTGATCCCCTTCATGCACACAACTGGCAACCATATGCAGAGCTAACAAGTACTATATACCCAGCATCCATAGGAGTCCATTAGAGAAAGATGTGCATTGTCGATTGCAGCATCTTCTTTTCATCTCCCACTTCTGGATGAAGCTCCCATCTAGGCACCAACTGGAACTAGCCCTACCTTCCAGTCGTCTCTTGGAAGGAGCCAATACATTGTGCACTACAGAGCATCAAAGAAAGCTCTGTTTGAAATTCATATTTACATTACAATGCCATAACACGGCAGTTCAGAGACTTGCTAACTCTATTATGAATGGTCAGCTATTTACTTTAAATATGACTCGGAGCAAGTATAAAACAGAATGTGATCCTGCCATTGCTAAGCATTCTCTTCTATTGATAGCTAAGCATTGTACTTCTTAACCTTCCTGTTCTTGTCTATTTACTTGTAAATAAAATTATCTTGTATTCACTGCCATATCCTCCAAAACCAAGGCAGCATAATATATGAGAGTGGCAGAAGAATGTCTTCATCAAATCCTCTAGAATCATGGGAGAAACTAGTGGCTTCAAGTGGAAGAAACAATGGGCAGATGAGGGGAATGAACATTCAGCTGCCCACTATAGTTCTCTTAGCGCTTCTTGAGGGATTTTTCACCCACCAATTTTTTTTCTTTTCCAGAAATCAACTTAACTTTTTGAATAACTTTCAGAATAGAATCCAGCAATATGTATTTTTTTCTATGTAATAGTTACATTTGTGCTTAATCAGGAGACCACTGATGGAAGAGTCATCAAGAGGAGAAAGTGTTCTGTTCCCTCTCCGGCCATGCTCTCACTCGCAAAACTCTGCATGCTTTATATATAGAAAATAAGGATCTCCCCCACCGTCCCCTGCAATTACAGTGATACCCCGGGATACGAACGCCTCTGCTTGCGAATTTTTCGGGTTACGACCAGCTCTGGCCC